TCCTTCCTTCCTTCCTTCCTTCCTTCCTTCCTTCCTTCCTTCCTTCCCCTCGTTTTTACCCCCAGTACTACCTCTTTCAGGAATGACACATTTCGCTCTTCTGACACCTGGGTGCCAGATGACACGCAGGCCCTGGAGAGCCTCCCCATCCACACCCAAACCCTCGTGAGGCATTACTCCAAACAGAGAAGTGTTCTGGGCAATTACGTTATTTCTCTTTATTTACACCTGTAGTAAAAACTTGGAAGTGACCCAAATGTCCACTAATAGAGGATGAGTTGGAATAAACGGTGGGAAGTTTACCTGATTAATGTTACATAGTCACTGAAAATGATGCTTGCAAATAATTTCCAAAAATGTAGGGAACTATTTAAGTGAGGAATGCACAATTCAGTATCTGACACCAACTACTATTTTCACCTTGTGAGGGTGAACGCTCAAGGAAAAAGATTGGGAGGAAATGCAGTCTGGGGGCACCTGGCTGCCTGTCAGTAGAACATGCAACTCTTGATCTCGGGGTTGTGAGTTCGAGTCCCATGTTGGGATTAGAGATTACTTAAAAATAAGTAAAATCTTAAACAAGGAAATGTAGTCTGCCATGTGTTAACTGGTAGTTAATTAATGGTAGTTAATGTAATTTTTGTTTTCTTATATTTTTGTATTTTAAATTTTCTATAAACAAGTAAATCCAACTTTCATAACCAATAAAAAAAAACCCACTGATGACATAACAATCAAAGGGAGGCTTGCTGGCTTTTGCATTTTTTAAATTAATTAATTAATTTACTTAAAGTTTATTTTTATTTGAGAGAGAGAGAGAGAGAGCAAGCAAGGGAGGGGCAGAGAGAGAGGGAGAGAGTCAGAATCCCAACTAGGCTCTGTGCTGACAGGGCTCGAACTCATCAACTGCAAGCTGAAATCAAGAGTCGGACACTCAACCGACTGAGCCACCCAGGCGCCCCGGCTTTTGTCATTTGAAATGCAGATAGGTCTGTGTAAAAATTTCTGGTGTCTTCGGGCGATGTATGGAAGTGTTGAGTCACTATATTTAGTCCACACCTAAAAGCAGAATTACCCAGCGTGTTAACTAACTGGAATTTAAATAAGAACTTAAAAAAAAATTCCTGGTGTCTTGTTTTACGAAGTATCAACAGCCTGCAGGCCGAACTGAGCAGCATTTCCGCTCTGCGGACGCAGCTGGAGCAGGACGTGCTCTCCTGTCGGAATTTGCAAAGGACCCTGGAGGAGCAGATCAGTGACATTCGGAGGCGGGAAGGTATGTGCCCTCTTGCATGTGTTTCCCTTTGGTTTTTCCACGTGGAGGGCCTTGGCTGAGCTTGAAGAAAGTCCTAAAACTTAAGTAGGGGATGGGGAAGCCACGGGATTTCCTCTGGGTTCTGTGTTAACGTTGGCTCTCCCAGTCTGTGTCCACCTGGCTTTGGCCTTGGTGCAAAGGCCCAGCGCGTCATGTCCGTGCCTCAGAGGGTGTGCCGGGGGGTGGTACCTCGCTACCTCTGCCTTGCTCTCATCACTTGGTACTTCTAGATCCGCATCACCTCAGGGCCCACCACGTCTGGGCTCTGCCTACCGGGGTACCCACTACAAAGCCTGCACCACACAGACCCACAGCCTGGAGGTTGCCGTTTTGCGTTGAAACTTCGCGTTTAGCGTTGTCGTGACCACAAAGGGATTCATTAGGGAGGGACACAGGGTGAGGGGGTGAGGAGCCTGTGGTCTTTGCATTGCTCTGCTCATCACAGCAGCACTTGGCCCGCTCCCTCCCACCCCCCCATTGGGATGTGACGTTTGCTGCAGAGGAAGCAGACCCTGACGTAGGTGACCAGAGATTCTGTTTTCTTAGATCTAGCAGCCCATTTTCTGTACTTGGTGTGCTCACTACCACAGAGGGCTCCGGGGCCAGTGAAAGATACATCGGGCACGTGTATTTCCCTGGAGCGCTACCCTTGAGGGTCACATCTCATTTTCCTGTTTTCTTACCTAAACAGAATCACTCCCCCATTTAAACCGAAACCACCATTTGCCTGTGCCGCTCAGAATGCTCCCTAGGTGCAGCACTTCGTGTGCAAATTATAATTCAGAAAAGGCCGCAGTGAATGCCTGCAGCCCATGATGAAACCATACATTGAGATATCAGCCTGTAGAGAAAGAGGGACAATTACTTTTGCTCCAAAGGTGGTGCATTAAACTCCCTATTTGTACTTATTCCCCCTTGTAGCAACCCCCTGCCCCCCTTCTCCCAATTCAAATTGCCTTACGTGGATTGTACTGGGATTGGTCTTGGAAGGATCTATTTCTGATATTCTTTTGCTCTCCATCGCCCCCTCCCCATTTTTTTTGCAGAAGAACCATTTTCATTTTATAGCGATCAAACATCTTACCTGAGTATTTGCCTTGAAGAGCACAATCGGCTTCAAGTGGAACATTTTTCTCAAGAAGAACTTAAGAAAAAGGTATTGACCTGTTAACTTTCCGTGCTTTGTTGGTTATTTGTTGTGTCTTGGGCTCCTGATCCTGAGGTGTAAGATTGTGAAAGCCCCTTTCCTCTCCTTTCTTCTCTCTCTCTCGGCCGGTCTTTGTTCCTTTGGTGTATGTTACCTCCCGTGCCCTCCCTCGTGCCTGATACCCTCCTTCTCAGGCTGGAGGCCCGGCCCAGGCTTGATCTCCTCTAGGAAATGCTCTCTATCCCTCCCTCAGGTCATTCTCTTCTCTTCTCAGACCTGACTGCATTCGTGTCATGCTCATAATGACCTGGAATGATCTGGTTACTCATCTGTGACCCCATCAGGTTGTGAGCGGCTCGAAGTTAGTGATTGCATTTTATTTATTTTTGATTTTCCAGTATCTACCACACAGAGTGGGAGTTAATACCTGCTTTTTGAAAGAATAAAGGTCCAGGTTTGCTGAGTAAATCTTTTTTAAAACTAGAAACCAAGTTTCTCAACCTGTTGGTTGTTGGTGTGGTTAGAGTGGTTTAGTGTTTCAAGAGCCTAAGAACCACTGCGAAGAGTAGGAAATGTGAGCTCAGAGGAGACTGATTTATTATAAAATTACCATATATGTATGACAGATTCGGTTTCTGCCTTGGGCTAGCTGACATTCTGGTAGAGTAGCAGACATGTGAATAAGTAATTGCATTGTGGAGGGTGAGGGTCGCTGAGGTAGGCGGGTGTGCAGGGTATAGGTCGCAAAGGCAGCAGAGGAGGAGGGGTTAATTGCTAGGGGGTCGGGGGATCCTCACTTGATCAGAGGAGGCTTTTCGACAAGTGAGGCCTGAAGTGGGTTTTGAAGGACGAATAGGAGCTTGTCTAGGTGGAGGACTTTTTCAGCAGCAAGAGACGGAGTAGGTGCAAGGCACTAAAAGTAAAAAGTCGAAAGGAGAATTTAAAATTTTTCAGGATTTTGGGAGGAGCGGAGCACGGAGCGCCAAGGCCTCTTAGTTTTGGAAGATAAAGAAAACGAGGATCGCTGACAGCACCTGCGGCAGCGTTAAGGCCAGGAACCAGGTCACTCGCGGTTGGCACTCGGCAGGTGTTTGCGGAGTCAGAGGGTTTTGTTCTTCTCACTCCCGCCTTGCGGGGTGGGTCTAGTTTGTGTTCATGTTTGGCTGTGTTGGACATCTGTGTGTAGTCAGGGTGGGACGTCCCACTTTATCTGAGGGGCTAACGATTACTCCGTTAAGAAGCCTGTGAAATGACCGGCCGGCGGGACTTGAAGCTTGCAGGGAACGGAGGTGGCGTCTGTGAACTGCTTATGTACCTGGTCCAGCAAAGCCCTGTCTGGGGGCTCTGGGGGCTCAGCTCCAGGCCCGCTCTGCCTCTGGGGGGGCAGCTGCCCTTCCCCACGCGGCGAGGCACCTTGGCCATCCTTGTATGTCATTTAGGCCCCTGGACACCCCCAGCGGGCGAACCTTGGGCAATGAACTTCTTTGTTCGGTGGCTCCTCATTGTAAAATAGGGATAGTCATTCTAGCCTGTCCACCTCCTCAGGACTTTTGTAAGGAATGAATGACTAAAGCTTGCGGGTGTATTTCGGTAGCTGTCGATTGCTTGGTGTTGGAAGACGATTATTATTACTGACATCGCTGGGTAGGTATACAAAGAAGAAGGTCGATGCTATGAAAGAAGACTGACGCAGTCTCAGAAATGTCCGTCTCGGGGCTTTTCCTCCAGAGGACCCCAGGTACGAGGCAGAGATCGTATTGGCCGTCGCTAGTGGGGCACGTAGATGGTGCCAACGTCCTCAGTGCACCGTGACCGTGATCACCTTCAATCCTCACAGTAGCCCATTCCACAGATGAGGAAATGGAGGCTTAGCGCAGGATCACTCTGCCTTGAAGCGGTGGCCGTGGGATTAGAACACAGGCATGCTAGTGGTTTTTCACCGTACCCTGCCTAGCCTGAAGTCTGGAACCAGCTGCCTGAGTTTCCATAATTGTGATGCTGGAGAGTCTGCTCAGGAGAAGGTCTGTGTGCAGGGCCGGGGCCCAGGGGCACTGAGGTCGGCTTGTGGGTCCCCAGCTCTATCTCTGCTCTTATCTCTCAGGTTAGTGACCTGATACAGTTGGTGAAGGAACTGTATACAGACAACCAGCACCTGAAGAAAACCATTTTTGATCTCTCCTGCGTGGGTTTCCAGGGGGGTGACGGACCTGAGGCAACAGAGCAAACAGAGGTAAGAAGAAACGTTCACGTTACGCGCCGACTACAAAACGGTAACCACCCCCCGAATGTCCTCAGACCGCACCTGTCCTGAGGAGGCCCCTGTAGAAGCTGCCTTTGCTGGACGTGGTTTTGAGGGCCCTGCTAGGTCCTCCTCACGTCCGGGTTCTGTCTGCATGGACACGTTGGGCGTATTTTGATACCTTTGACTCCCGAGTCGGGCCCTGGGGTCTGGGCCACAGATGGCGCATCTGGATGGGTGGGATGGCCTCAGAGGGATCCGGAGAGTCGCCGCATCACCCAGGTAATTTGGGTGGCGTAGATGCAGCTTTAATGAATGACGCTGTTAACGTGGAAAAGCACATGTGTAAACACAATTTTCATTTTCTTGGTGTATTAATCTTCTGAATTCTCTGCAACTTGTCACTCACGGCCTCTGGACCGGTGGCTCTGACTGGATGTGTGTCGTCCCTTCGCGCACGTAGCCGGGACTCCTGCGCTCTGCCTCGTACAGGGGACGTGGTGGGGAGCACACAGCCTGTGCCAGCACAGCCCTCGACCCCCGCTTCCCGGCTGTGGGAATTTTCTGCCCGTGGCATCGGAAAGCCCGGAAGGGCCACGAAAGGTTAAATCACGGTGTCTCTGCGAGGACCGCAGAGAGCGTGTGGTTCGCTGGGCTCGGGTACCCGCAGGGCGAGTGAGAGGCCCACTCTGTTAGCCGTCCAGCCCCGTGGAGAGAGCGGGGAAGCCTTATCCGGCCTGGTGACATCCGGGCGTCTGATTCTCCGTTCTCGGCCTGTGCGTACAAAAGGGGGCCTGAAGTCGTGTCGCTGAGAAACAGCCTGTCCTTCCCTTTAGCCCTTAACTGGCCTCGCTCCCCCGGGCGTCTGTGAAGCCTTTTTCAGGGGACCGGGGCTGTACTGGCCACGAGGTGCGGGAGGACCTTTTGTCTCTGGGTCCCGGGCCCCTCAGTCTTCCTGCTGACGGTTGTCTTGAACTCGGCCTAGCTGGCCAGGTAAAAGGAGGTCTCGTTGCCACATTCCGGGAAAGATCCGTCAGCCTTGAAGCTGTCTCCTCCCGCCTTCAAAGGGGGAGCCGCTCAAAGGTATCTACGTTTCGCTCAGGCCATCTGCTGTCTTTGAGGGAGGGAACGTTATTGATCGTAGCCTCCCGGGCTCCAGATGATTTTGGAAACTAAGAATATCTGCAATCCATTTAGGGAGAAACAAGTCTCTTGGTTTGTTTTCTCCAAGGCAGCATTTTTAATAAGCAGCTCATTCTTCACCCACTTCATTTGAGTCGTAAATGGCAAGTTTGTTTGTTCATTTGCCCTTTGAAAAAAATCTGTTAAATGTCCCATTATGTCCTTTGGAGAACAGAGGCTTTTTCCTCTTCCCACTCTGAGATCTTAATAACCAGCCGATTCGGATTTGAGTCATTTGTCAGATTGCACTTCAGCTTGATGTTCCCTGTGAATACATTTGTCCTGTGTAGCAGTGTTCCATCTTCCCCCGGAATGGGATGGGAGGATCCCAAGATCCGCATGGGAAGGAGGCTGTTCCCACGGTGATCCTGAGCCAAAAGGTTGCGGGGGTGAGGGTGGGCCGGCAGAGAGGGGCCACTGCCTCTCCCCAGGCCAGTTCCTCGGGAGCGCGTGTGGTTCTGCTCGGAGGGGGACCGGACGCCCAGGCTGTGCACAGCCTTGTCCCAGCAGCCGGGCTCGCGGAGCGGGGGCTGGGCACCATTCCCGCTAAATGAGAAAAAGTCGGGCGGGGCGGGGGAGGGAGGTGGTGGGAAGCAAATCGCTTTTGTGTTTTTAAAATTCAGTATTTTTCTCCAGTGTTTAATTAACCCACAGCATTGGGTTAAAATAGAGAAAAGAAATTACCCCGATCCTGTCACTTTAAAACACGCATAGTTAATTAACATTTTGGAGTCCTTCCTTCTCTGTTTGTGTGTATGAACATGTACAGGCCCACAACGCATATACGGTTTCGTTTCCTGTGTCTTCCCAATTGCTGTATTCCAACATAGCATCTTATTTTACCTAACGAAGGCACTGAAATTTAACTAAGCCCCTGATTATTGTTGGACATGTAGATGGTTTCTAGAGAGTCACTCTTTTCAGTTACCTGATGAGGGTCTTTGGACCCAAATCTCTTTCTGGGTTTAGGATTTTTGTCCCCTGAGACTGTATTGGGTATTACGTATCCCAGATACGTAACTTGTAGGTCAAAAGTACAGATGTAGAAAGATACAGGTATAGAAAAGCATACCATTTATTTTCATAGAGCCTCCCCCTGCAACTTTTAATTCGACAAGGGGTCTGAACAGCGGGAGGCCCTTGATACGGTTTGTCGGGTTTGTCCTCAAAACGGATGCCCTGGAATGGGCCCCCTCCAGCTGGCGAAGACCACGCTTACTCCCCGCGTGTGGGCCGTTCGCTTCAAAACCAGCCAAACAAACAAAAGACTGAGGACAGGTGTCCCTTGGTTTTAAAAGTGCCTTAAAATAGTCTCAGATCGGTTTGTCGCTCTCTCTTCATGTTTGTTTACTGGTTACTAATTTATGTGCTTGAGAATTGATGCACAGGAGTGACTGGAGCAGCCGGCAGTCAGGGTGCTGCTGAGCCTGCTTTGTGGGCAAACCCCGAGCTGTGTGATGTGTGCCACCGTCCCCTCGAAGGGGCAGGACGTTGGATACGTGCGTCAGTGCGCAGAAGGGCTTAGTCTCTATGAGGACTAACATCCCTGTTTGCTTACGTCACCATTTTTAGAAACGGCTAGAGAACTAAGATCTTTTTTTTTATTTTTTTTCTTCCTGGAGGGCAAACACGGATTGAGGGGCATAATTTAATTGAACGCAGAAATTGGAAGGGCCGTCATTCTGAATCAGAAGTAGGCCTTGTGTGACTCTAGAGGACAGACATGGTACTCAGAAGCGGAAGGTGCTGGTTAAATTTTGCTATTAGTAACAGAATACAATCTCGTTTGTCCGAAGCAGATTTGATTTCATTAAAAGGAGGCGCTTTCTAACCGTCTGACTTCCTAAGTTACTATGAATTTTGCATGATGGATAAAGAGCCCTCGGCACAGTGCCTGGCGTGTAGTAGGCACTCAGTAAAACAGTTAATTTAATTAAAACATTTTTATTAAGTTTATTTCGAGAGACAGAGACGGCATGAGCGGGCGACGGGTAGAGAGAGGGGGAGAGAGAGAATCCATGCAGAGCCCGACACGGGGCTCAAACTCATGAAACCGCGAGATCGTGACCCGAGCCGAAACTGAGAGTCGGACGCTAACCACCTGAGCCCCGCAGGAGCCCCAGTTTCGTTTAATTTTTTTTTTTTAGTAAGTTAGTGGCCGAGTTGGGCCTGCAGCCTCCTTCTGGCTCCTGTTCCGTGTTTTCGTGACACCACGGGCCAGTGCTGCCGAAGTTTACCGTGCATGTGACTTTCCCGGGGAATCTCGTTAAAGATGCCGGTTCCGTCAGTCTGGCATGGGGCCCGAGAGTCCACATGTGTCATGAGCTTCTGTTGCTCCGAAGGACGCCCTTGGGGCAGCAAGACCAGAGGTAATCCCGAATACTTTTTGCTCTCAGCTCTCATTTTGAAAGACTCTGTTCGTTCCCTTGCTCTTTCAGCAGGTACTTTATTGTGCACCCCGCGCTGTTAGAAATGAACGCAGACGTGAGCCTGCCCCAGCCGCTACGTCGGGCGCAGAAGCTGGGGGGGGGGCAGGTGCCCCTGGGTGTGGGGAGGACCGCGAAGGAAGAGCACGGTGTGCCGAGGGAGTGAGCGGACAGGGGTCTGGCCTTCTCTTGAGGTCGAGGGTAATTCTTCCTGGAGGAGGAAGGAGAGCCCGGAAAGCAGGTCAAGAAAGAGTAACCCAGGAGGCTGGGGCAGACGTTACGGAGCAATGCTTTAAGGAGGGGTGTCCACTCGGGTCAAGTACTGTCAGAAGACCAGAAAAAAGTGGTGGGAAGTTGTCAGCGAGTCATTCACGTGTGGAGCGAGGGACATTTCTCTCTGTCCACAACACTTCATTTCTTGGCCGTTGCTGGAAATTGAGTTTACTTTTAATTTTGACCAAGTCGGCAGAGGTAAAGAGAAATGAACGTTGATCCTGCTTTCGCTGTATGGGGTCGTGGTGTGGTTGTGGTTCTGGAAATGAAGAATGGCTTGGAGGCTTTTGAAATTTCAACTGGGAATGACGTGGGTTAACAGTACTGTGCTTAGCTTAACTTAAGGGGAGACCCTTCCTTTATCCACAGGGTCAGGGATGAGCTTCTCTGTGCCTCTTCCCTGAGCCAGTGTGGGTTCCATCTCCCGTGTTGGATGGTCTCTGGGGACCTTTCACGTGCAGTTTCTAGAGAGTGTCAGCGACAAAAGCCACAGTGCCAGAGGCGGGGTTAGACACTTCTTTCAAGAAGCTTGGAGAGAGGCAGGGACGCTCAGTGACCAGAGCTGTTTGGGAGCAGAGGGAGACTGTTGTTTTGTTTTTTAAAGATGGGAGAGACTTTCCCCCAGAATTTTATCCTGAAAACAATTTAAACACCTCCAAGTGAGAAGAACCTGATGGTGAACACCCACACACTCCCCACCTAGATCCTGCTGTTAACATGTCCCACCGCATTCACTCCATCTGATCTTTTTGATACATTTTAATGTAAGTTACAAATACCTGTGCCTTTCCCCTGAAATACTTAAACACGAGTATCTTAACTTCAGTATGTGTTTACAGTTATTTTTCCTTTTAAGGTTACATTTATGTACATTGAAATGTAGAAATCGTAAGTCTGTGTTCGCTCAGATATACAAACGTATGTACCTGTGTAACCCACACCTCCGCCAGACCCCTCAGCGTCCCTTCTCATCAGTTCTCACTGCTCCCCCCCAGCCATTTTTCTACTTTCGACCCCTGTGTGTTAGTTTTGCTTGCGCTAGGCCTTCGCAGGAACGGAATCATCAAGTAGACTCTTTTGTGTAAAGCGTCTTTCACTCGGCGTTCTCTTTTTTGAGGCTCATCCATGTTGTTACGTGAACCAACAACATGGTCCTTTTTATTGCTAAGTAGTATTCCATTGCACAGATACATTAAACTTTGTTTCTTTGTTCCGCTGCTGCTGATTTGCATTGTTTTGGTTTGGGGACATTATGATAAAAATTGATCTGAACACTCACGTACAGATCTTGAGGTGTTCCCTCTTCTTGATGAATACCTACGAGTAGAATTCCTGGGTCATGGGTTTATTCGTTTTGTAGGAAATTGCCAGTACTTTTCCCACAGTAGGCTAACATCTTCTACTCCCACCAACAAGTTTGAGAGCCCTGGTTGATCTTTATCACCTGAGAGTGTTTTAGTAACGAGGGAAGATGCCAGCAGAGGGAGAGAAGCCCCTGGCCCGTGTGGAGAAACTTGACGCCTTGGTGAATATACTCGTACGCGTCCGGCCTGTTTAATGTTTCGTAGTTTAGGGAGCTCCCATTTGTGAGATCATCGGTTCCGTTTGATCGTGACTGCAGATTTGGCTATGATTAGGTTGAATGTGTCCTGGTCTTGAAAAGGTTTCTAGAAAATGACTTAATGAAGGCAAATTGCTTTGCTTTGTTTGCTTTCTTCCCAAATAAGGGTTTCCTATAAAAGGAAGATCAGAAAAACGTAAGTTGGTCTGGGAAAATTAGGGACTGGATGTAGGAATTGCTAAGTAAAACTATAGAGACAGAACCTTAGAAATCTCATGCACAACACGCCCGGCAAGTGACTCAGCAAGCGACACTTGAGTGCAGAACTTACGATTTCATCGGTGAGGAGAGGTTTAGTATAATTTTTGCAACAGCTCCGACTGATTAGCTTCCTGGGTGTGGCCACCTCTCCTCTCCCATTTTGATTTTGTTAATCCAGGTGTCCCAGGACTGGAATTTTCTCTCTTCTGGAGAGCTGAGATCTGGCCGTCTCAGGAACATCGAACTGCCCGTTGTGGAGAATGCACAGTGCAGAAGCTTTGGGCCTTCCGCCTCTTTAAAGCCGTAGGGATTTATGCAGTCTTTATAAAAGACTGCTCTTCGTCTCCAAAGCCTAAAGTTACCGTCAGGCAAGGTCGATACTCCACTTATTAGCGATGAGGACTTTCTTGTCAACAGAATGACAGCATTGTTGGGACTGTCCATCTCAGCTCTGTGACAGTCCAGAAGGAGGTTTATGTGCTGGGCTAAATAGGAGACGTGATGCAGAAATCGGGCAGAGCATAAATTTCATTTACTGCTTTCTTGCTATTTGATACTTTCAATTCCGTCAATAGCTTTTTCCTGAACTCTTGTTACTTTTATGTAATCTGAAAATGAATTTAGCAACGGCAGGAGTGGCAACAGCACAGCAGACAGCATTCTCGATCTACAGCAGCTCGGGGAGGGCCTGCCAGGGCAGGGGAATGGCTTTCGTCATTTCTCGGGGCCTTTGTCCTGACATTATGCCCGATCCTGGGCAGCTGCGTGTGATTGGCTAGAACCAGCATCTCTAACTTTGGTTAATTTTTATTTCATTGGCTTTGGCATTCGTTTCTGCCTCCTTTTTGGTTTGTTTTTTGTTTTGCATTAAAAAAAAAAAAAGACATCACTGACTTATTCATACATATTCATGCTGCGCACTTTTTTGGGTTGCGTTTTCACACCATTCCATGCTCCATGTAGCTTCTGGCTAGCAAGGAGGACGAGGACACGACCAGACTTGGAGAGGATGACGAGAATAACTTCCTGAGCGACCAGCTCTTGGAGCAGAGCAACAAGGTAGGAACGTGGCGGTCCACCCCGATTCTGTCCTCCCCTCGCTGTGCCCAAGCCAGTCCTCCAGTTTGGGATGAATCCGTTGGCTTTTCTGTTCCTCGTACCTGTGTCGAGTGTTTGCCGTGTGCCAGTGGAGAGCAAAGACACTGAGTCTCTCTCTTCTCAGACCACACACGGGGCGGAGGGCACGTCAGGGGACAGGAGGACATACGTAGGGCTGCCAGTAAAAACAGGGTTGTTATAAGAGAATAACAGGCTTTGGATGTTGGACCTGGTCAGATCCTTAGAGATCTAACCCTGCCCATTTGTTTCATGCGTTGGAAATTGAGGCCTGTGAGGGGAGGGGGTTTCTCCAGGACACAGCGTCAAGTCAGTGGCAGAGCCGAGGTGAGGGCCCTGTCCCTGGACTGCTGCGAAGTCCCAGATCATGACCGGAGTGTGAGGACTCCCTTCTCGGGGGCCCCCTCCGGTCCCCTGATATGGAACCCAGCTTCGTGTCGTCTGGGCACTGTTGAGAATTTGACTCCTTCCCTGTAGAACATTCCTCCAGTCACATCCATACTGGGCATTTGGAACAAACATTCTCCCAACTTGAAAGAACCCGAGAGACTAGGGCACAGTGGGAGATAGGAGGCTGGAGGCTTGGCATTTGTGACCTTCAGAGTGTTCGAGTTCTCGTGGTCGTGAATGGGAGACCATTAAGAGGTGGATGGTTTGGGTGAGCAGAGCAGCTCCGAGTGGGCGCTGATTTTAAACCTTGCTGTGTATCTTCATGACCTCCATTGACCCTTGCTTAACCCCCAAGCCCGAGTTTTTTTCAGGGGAGTTAATACATCCTTGCTGGAGTTTTTGTGATATTTAAATAGAAAGGTGTGTACCAAGTGCTCGGTAAATGCTATCACTCTTTTTATCAGCATCTCCGAGACCTTTCCTTCTTTGGAAGTTGCTTATTTAGATGGATGTAATAACTAGGTTGGTGGCAAACAAGACCCTATAAATAACGGCTCGTTTGTGTGGGTCTTGTCTTCCATTTAAAAATCTTAATCATTTCACAAGTGTGAGAGAGGGGTGTGATGGCTAGTGTGTATATCACCAGTAATGAAGTCAAGGGGAGTTATTTATAGACGGGTAGAAGAGATTTACAGCTTTGGAAAGGGGGAGAAAGAATGCTAATTGCAGCACCTCCAGACATGCCCAGCACAAGCTTTAACTAGATGCGTCCTCGGTGCCACTCCTTTGGGGCCCTCGGTGACCCAAGAAGGTGGATCCGTAAATAACATCTCCCTGGGAGTTTAGGAGCTCTCTTCTTTTCCTAATGAGACAAATCAAAGTCATGTTAATTAGGATGTATCTGTAAAGAGTGAGGCACCTTTCTGATAGGTAACGGGGAGGATACACTGCAAGAAGTAGATGATAGATGTCCACAAGGTCGTTGATGGCACGGGCTCCCTACCCTTCCTAGGAAGAACTTGCTAGGAGCTGGTCAGGGGGCGGGGGGACACATGCCTGGTGGGCAGGACGCGGCCCTTCCTCTCATTTTTTTTCTCGCGGTCACCCGGGGAAGTGGCAGTGTCTCCCCATTTTGTGGATGAGGGAACCGAGGGCAGGAGAAGTGACGTAGACGTGTCCGTGCTCTTGTGGGAGCCCCTCCGCCGCAAGGCACGTGTGTGGACCTTCGAGCCTGAGCCCGCTCTGTGCCCTCTCCTTCTCCCTCTGGCTGGCTTGCACTGCTGATGCGCTCTCTGCCTCCGTCCTCTCTCTCTCCTGCACGCACCCCCTCACTTTCTTCCCAGGTCCGTATTTTGACCAGATACTCTGATTTGCAGGTTGTGGAGGATTATTCCAAAGGAGGTTGCAAAAATGGATATTTGAGGCACACGGATTCCAATATTCTAGATTCCGACGGCGCCCACAAGCCTGGCTGCCCCAGAGACCGGAGTCTAGAAGAAGGCGAACTCATGAACTTGCTTGCCCCGTTTTTCAGTGAGAAGGCCACGTTGTTACTGGAATCCAGGTAGACATGGGGCCCCGGTAGTGGTTTCTTTCTCGGGTGTGAGGGGAGAACAAGCTCCTTTTGCTAAATGGATTTAGATGGCGGTGCTGTGTAATTTAGCCGAGAGAGCCACCGAAATGTCTTGGAAGGAATCGTGCCAGTCAAGCAATTAAGTAATTAGGCTGCACGCTAGTGGCTGGGAGGGGACTTCAGCAAAGCCTCGTGCAAGCCCAGTATGGAGAGCGAAAGCAAGCTTTCCTCTGGAATCGGTCCTGGGAGCCCCGGGAAGGGCTGTGTCTGGCTGTCAGCGAGAGGAATCAGGCCTACGGAGTCTCTTCCGGTTTCTGCAGCAGCTTAAAAACTGCCATTGTAGTCGTGACTCGCGGTTTTATGTGGAGCTCGAACTGAAATTCTCGTCTCATCATATCTGCCGGGGGTCATCCTGTGTGAGGAAATACCTCGGGGTGTTTGCCTTAAAACGAAAAAGGAGAAACGTTCCGCACGTTCGTGTTTTTAGAATTAACCTTTGGGAGCAGATTGTCCCCCTCCCCGCTTCCCATTCTTACGAGTCCGTCGTGACAGCTGCTTGGGCTTTGGGGCCAGAAGGAGCCGCGCTTTCCTGTCTCAGGGCCCCCCGGCCTCTCCGGCCACTTCCTCGGGAGCCGCGAGGAGGAAGAAAGCACCGTTTAAGGAAAATGGCAGGCGGGTGGTGTGTGTTCAGTGAAAGTGTTGCGCTCTCCTCCAGGGTAGACAGAGAAACGGAGCCGCTAACTCCTGCCCGTGACTCTTGGCAAGAGCCAGGAACCCCACTGTCTCTCCCGTCGGTGGACTGAGCCTCATCGGCGTTTCTGTAGCTAAAATAGGACTGGAGCATTCTGTCATTGTAAGCTCAGGCAGGCTGCCCCTTCCCCAGTCCCTGGCATCCGCCCAGCATTTTCCTAGCGCGCATCCTCTTGGGGGTACATGTCTAGTGCCTCTGCTGGCTGATTGTCACAGGGAGTTAGGTGCCCGTGGTTGACGCTTGAGAGTTGGAGGATTTTCTCCACGTCAGGGTCCCACACGTTACATCAGAGCTCGAAGATGCAGCTCTCCTCTGGGGAGCGCCTAGGGATGTGCCTGGGTGATGTGAGCAGGGGGATGGAGGGGGAAGAACAACGGGCCGTGGTGGGCATGTGGGACGCGGGGGGGGGGCCGGGGGGTGGCTCCCTGCTGGTGGGCGGGAGCTTCTTAGGCCCAACTGACGGTTGCGGTGTGAGCACAGGGGCTCGCAGCCTTCCGGTCTTTCAGCGGAAGCCCCCAAATTATATTCTAAGTCTCTTGATTTTTGAAAACGCAAACCTAGTAATGTTTTTCCAGAAAGCATTTTCTGGGCCAACGCCCTGCCTGCCAGGGGGCAAGCTTGTGACAATCCGTGGTTCTGTTAACCTGTGCCCTGCAGGTGACTGTTCTGTAGGCTTTCGGGCCGCACTGGCCACTTGTAGTGTCAGAAAAGGCTTTCTTACACCAGCCTGAATCTTCCGTCTTGTTCTCCGGACAGCTGTCCTTCATGGTGCACCTCTGAGGCCCGTGACAGTGGACTCGTGGCTCCGAGGGCCCTCCTGCAGGCCCGACCGTGGTCGGCACCCCCGTCCGGCACACACACCGGGCATCACGTGCCCGGTCGCGTTGCACCCTCACGCCGGCCTTGCATGCCGCTGGCGTGGCGGTAAACACGGGAGCCGACCTCTGGGAACCTGACTTTCCCTTAGCAAGTAAGTGCTAGGAGCTGTTGGTGAATTTTCTGGGATAACCAGGATTTTGATCGGTCAGGGAAACACCAGCCTTCTGCTCAGGAGTTCCCTTTGGGTCCAGGCCGCCACCGTCTGTCGCCTGGACTCTGGCAGCACGACCTCCTCTACTGTCCGTTTGCCACAGAGAGGCTGCAGTGATTTTTTTTTTTTTTTTTTTTTTTTTGGCCAAAGTGACCTTTTTATTTTTATCTAATTTAATTTAATTTAATTTAATTTAATTTAATTTAATTTAATTTAA